CTAGCCATTTTGGATTCCAATACGGTGTCCAACATCGATTTTCGACCTCTACACATCGTCCCCCTTCCGGAAATACCCATATTGTGGGTATTTTACAGTTTTTTTTTTAGAAAAACCGATGGCCATAATTTTGGATTCCAAAATGGCACCGGGCAGCGAATTTAGACATCTACACGAAATTCTCGTTTCAAACATATCCATAATTGTTGGGTATTTGACAGTATTTCTAAAACCGAAGGATGGCAGCTTGAATTCCAAAATGGCGTTCAGCATCAATTGTTGACCTCTAAACTTCAGCCACGTTCGAAAAATACCCATATTGTGGTATTTGAAAGAATTTCTTAAACCATCTTGGTTTCCAAAATGGCATCTTGCATCGGCCTCTACACGGATCTCTTATTCCGGAAATACTCACATTGCACAGCAACATCCTAGCGCCACTTAGTTATATAGTTCTGAACTAATATGACCACCATCCGAAAAGACTTGATCACCTGAACAATTTTTCTGAAGACAGTAACCTTCTATATGACCACGATCTCGAGATACGACTAATACAGGAAGTTCATGTGCACAATAGCAGTTCTGATCTAATATGGAAGGATCTTGGTCACCTGAACAAGTTTCCTCAGGACAGCAACTTTATATATGGCCAGAATCACGAGATATTCTATTTTGGGCAGAAATTCTTTACAGTATAGTGCCTGTCATAATGTGAATGAAACGGCGCCGGTGGTGTAGTGGTAAGCGTGATTACCTCTCACCCCAGCAGGCCTGGGTTCAATCCCAGTCGGCGCCGCCGGGATGTTCTGAAGCATAACATCTCTGATCACGCCTTCCTTCGGATGGGAAGTAAAGCCGTTGGTCCCCGGTTCATGAGTTGATGGGTCGATAGGTAGGGTCCAGGTGTGGGAGCTGCCTTCCTGGCACGTCGGTAGCATTGGTGCTCAGCACGGAAAACAAGATCGACGGAAAAAACAAACCAAAGGAAAAAAAAAAATAATGTGAATGTGAAGCACCTCTAGCGGCGTAGTTTCCAATTAAACCTGAATAGAATGGCACGTTGAGTGGTGTCTGTGGTTTAGTGGGAAGCGTGACTACCTCTCACTCCAAAGGGTCTGGGTTCAATCACAGTCGGCACCGTCGGGATTTTCTGAGGCATAAAATCTCTGTAAAATCTGTCGATACGTAGGGTCCAGGAGTGGGTGCTGCCTCCGTCGCGTCGGTAGCATTGGTACTCAGTAAGGAAAACTATATCGACGGAAAATATGTCAAGGAAAAAAAATATGCATATTATACTCATTTGGAGAAATTTCTATCTCTTCGATGAAATGTATGCCCGGAATTCAGCTTCAGGTTCATCTCCGCTCCTTGTGCCCGAACTCTACCAAACTTTCTTCACCTGAAACATTTTCCCCTGATCTTGTAACAACTATACCAATAAACAATGTATTACGCTGACATACGAGAACAGTGATTCGCCCAGTGATCGCCATGGCTAAGGTTTCTGAATTCTCTGTGTATACACAGCTTCCCGTGGCGTTCGGTTTAACCTAAAACAGGAAAGGAGTGTCAAGTATCTGGTAGCCAAGAGCGATGCAGAAGCAATACAGTCACCATGGAATAAGTTTGCAGGAAATAGAGAAGCAGACGTCCAATGATTCACTGAGTTCGCTGTCTGGAGCTAAGCCTGGAGCTTCTTCTTCTTCTTATTCGCATTTCAATCATATTGCTTATCGCATATTAGTTTATTGCGTTTCGTGTTTTGTGGTGAAAAGTCAGTGTGGAAAACATGAAATTCGTTTAGTTGGTGATGGTAATTTGTGATCTTTATCGAATCATGGGCAGCCCATGGTTTTGATTTCCAGGTGATGTTTTCGGACATGTTGCATCCAGCAATCAGCTAAATTGGTGAGCTCGTTCCAGTTTAATCTGTTTTGCCATATACTTAGGTAGGATAGGATATTCAAACACATGTTTAAGTCTTGCTGGGAAAGATATTATTCGAGCGGCGTCGATGGTGTAGAGGTTAGCGTGATTGCCTCTCACCCCAGCAGGCCTGAGGCATAACATCTCTGATCACGGTTTCCTTCGGAAGGGAAGTAAAGCCGTTGGTCCCCGGTTTATGAGTTGATGGACCGATAGGTAGGGTCCAGGTGTGGGAGCTTCCTCCCTGGCGTAGGTAGCATTGGTGCTCAGCACGGAAAACAAGATCGACGGAAAACAAATCAAGGAAAAACCCAACCTACTAACAAAATATCCCTCCTGCGACCTTTGTGGGACGCATGGTCTTGCTTTGTAACTGCGCTAAGGGAGGCCCCTAAGCCTGGAGCTGTCATTGGAACCCTTTCATCCAGAGATGGTCATGCTGAAGAGATTCAAAGCTTCAGCTACAGTGGTTACATTTCTAACTTTTTTGAACTACCTCTTCAGCTTGGCCTACAAACTTGTAGAATCATTTTCGTATAGGAAACGCGATGCTCACTGGTATAGAATTTCTCACAGGAACAGACTTAGGATGATGCAACGTATAAATTCCGTCCAATCTTGTCAATAATTATCAAGACCTGGAATCTTTGACACCAGCTCTCTTCGAGAAAATGGCAGTTCGCTAGTGTCGAATGGACGTAGTGTCTGATTCCATACGAATGGAATTAAATTCATTTTCATTTCATCATCAACTTCTCGAAGAGAATGTTTGATATGTCGTTGCACCAGTTTAATACGAACAATAATACTCGTAGATTCCCCTAGTGAAGTGAATTCTACAGCAAGTCAGAAGACAGACACATTTGGGTCATTTCAGAATGAACTCTGGGGGAATGTCGGAAGAAGCTTCGTGGATAAATTGGTAGAGCTGTCCAGAGCAAGTTCACAAAAAACAAGGGGAAGTCAAAAAGATACTACCGTGAGAACAAGGAAGAATCTTCCGGATGAAGGCAGAAAAAAATCCTAATAATTCCGATACTCTTTACATGGGAACCCAGAAGGAGCTAAACATGAAGTTTACGAGAAAAAGAAAAACTTCAGGGGGATGTCTCACTTCCAGGAGAAGTCGGAAAAACTTCTTGGGAAGTCGGAGGACAAATTTAAGAGAAGCCAGAATTCTTCATGAGCGGCGTCGGTTGGTTGGCGGTTGTCTTTATTAAGGAGATTTTCAGTCAGACGCTGGTTCATCTCCGTCGCGCCGGGTGTGCAGTGGTAAGCTTGATTGCCTCTCACCCCAAAGGGTCTGGGTTCAATCCCAGTCGGCACCGCCGGGATTTTCTGAGGCATATAATCTCCTTCGGAAAGGAAGTAAGGTCGTTGGTCCCCGGTCTATAAGTTGATAGGTCGATAGGTAGTGTCCAGGTGTGGTAGCTGCCTCCCTGGCGTCGGTAGCATTAGTACGGAAAGCAAGATCGACGAGAAAAAAAACCAATAAATAAAATCTTCATGCTCAGATAAATGAATGTATAAAGTGTCGAATGTAAATTTACAAAAAAAAAATGCTGTGTGGATCCATCAACAGAAGTTAATACATTCTGATTAACCTATCCGGCTCCTGAATTTAAGAATTTACTGATTTCCAGTATGAGCGATCAGCTGTTTCCCGATTTCTGAGTAACCCAAAAAAAAGCCCGGAAATGGAAACACAAATTCGAATGCTTAAATGACCGCCTGGAGTTCTATGGGTTAAATTTCAATGATATTTAAAACAAAGCTCAAACGAAATTCAAACGAAATTGAAAAAGAATAACTGCTAGAAATTTCTTGGTAATCCATTCGTCGATTGTGCTTTATTTTACTAATAATTTATTTAGGGGAAATGGATGTAATGTCGGCCTACATGCCCCTAATTTGGGCTCATCAGCAATCGACAAAATTTTCAATAGCGACCAAAAATATCCATTAGTACCGTCCCAATGACGCGCTCATGTAGATAAAATTGATAAATAGCATATTTTTAACTATGGGCCCAATCTTAGATCCATAGGCCAACATTAGCGCCATTTCCCCTATCTAGGCTCTTAATTGCGGCAGCTCTACGGAGCCGAAATTTATAAACTTCGTAGAAGAAGGGGCTTACTCGAGGTTACTAGAAATACTAGAAGGAGAGATGAGCGGAGAAAATGTTTTGAGCCAAATAAACTGTCAAAATCTGAGCCAAACGAACATTCCCATTAGATTTTTCTGAGGATTTTTTATTCTTACTAGATTAAATTTGAGAGTATTGCAATCGAACAGAAATTCAATCACCTTTATGTTTCGTGTGCTTCTCAAATTCAACTAGTTTTTGGAATCAAAAGCAATATTCTAGCTCTATTGATTAATTGATCTTAGTTGGTTAATTAATGGCACCAAAAAATGAGCAAAATATTGCGATGTAATCAAGTATTAATTTACGCGTAAATCGAATCAAAAGTAAAAGTCATGTGAAATGCTAAGTTTTAGCAAGGGTTTCAAGAAAATTTAGATACAAATCCCTGCTGCCGAATTGTATTTTGTTTTCTCCACCCATCTCTCCCTCTGAGTATTTCTAGAGGTTACGGGCTACAATCTATTGACAGGTAGAGAGGGGAGCAAGTAAAAGGTACACAAGGATGCGATTGATAAATTTACCTCCACCGCCGTTAAAATACTGTTTTGCGTCCCTCTAAGTTCAACCCGACCTTTTGTCTTTGGACCTTTTGTCATAGATTCACACTGATACAAGGGCCCGAAGGTTTGACGCCATTAACCACACTACTGGCCACTTAGCAAAAACATCATACCCTGCTTGAAGTTTATACCGTTAAAATAGGTTAAATGCAATAAAAATCTTTTCATGACTTTCTACGAAACATTATCCACCTACACAGGCGGCGAGTCAAGCTTCCAGCATATGACTCAAAGGAGGTCGCATATTTTCCATTCATGCATACTTTCAAACAGCAGCACGTCCTCTAGCTGGTCGCCTCTCGCTCTCTGCTGGTGGAGCATCGACTGCCAGTTTGCCTCTGAATGCCGCAAGACGTGGATCGTCGTATTTGTCGTCACCGTCGTCGCCGTTAGCGTCGCCGTCGATGTGATCATTGTTGTTGTTGTTTTCGCCTCGAAACAAACCTTTCGCGCCACCACCAGTCATTGTTGTTTGACTCTCATAATCATCAAATCGTTTTGATTCTTCAGTTATTGGATTATGCCATCCATCATTGTTGTTCAAGTTTTAGCACTGATCAAAAACGACTGATCGGGAGTCTAAGATCGCGTTCCGCGCGGTGATTTCATGCGTGCCCGAACGCGTGTATAGGTGTGCGAGGAAGAAGAAGAAGTGAATCAAAACTGTGTTACTGGTGGAAGTGCAACTGCAGGTTCAAGTCTGTTCGTAGCCCCCCTTCTTCGCTCAAAATCCGCGCGTGAGATGCAGAAAGGTGAAATCATAGAGTGGAATAAACAACAGCAACTGTAAGCGAATTTTAAATGTCTGCCCACCGCCACCAGTACAAGGTTCGTTCGCACAATTATTGTGGATATGTACGCATTTTTGATATTAATATTCGGTGCAATTACTCGTAATTATGATTATTGTGAGTTGTTAGTGTTGTAGCTCTGATTGATGGGACTGCCGCGAAGATGAATGACGTTGTTTTTTTTATGGTTGCGTGTGCTTGTGTGAGTGTTTACTGCTGGGGCTCCAGCTGATGGTGATGAGAATATGATGACGAAAAGGAGGGTTTCCCCCATTTGCGGAAATGATCGGGAATCCGTTCGTACTGCCCACTGCTGCGGTCGCTTATGATGGTGGGTAATTTTCGGTCACAACCGACGATGGAAACGACAGCGTGTGAAGCGAACCGAGACCGGATTTTAAATTGAATTATAATTTAGCTCTAAAGGCAATATTCGTTCGCTCCAAAGAGGGTTGTAGTCAATAGGTTTACGAAGGTCATCAACATTTTTTCTAAAAAGTACGATGGATGACAATTGCAAATGTGCTGGAACATGTCATGTTTCAATCATGTCATCAAATCGATTTGATTTGATGCCGGATGAATTCAATGGATTGGGACAAAATGGGAATAAAGGTTATTATAAAGCGTGCACAAATTTACACTATATTTGATCCATAATCAGTGAAAGTGGAGAGAAATTATACTCCATCTTGCTACTGGAAGTGCACAGTTTGAATCGTTTTTAGTGACAACTAGCTGCTTTGTACATACGATAATAATTCATTGCATTGATAATCATGCGATAAATTTTGTTCCTATTTTTGATTGTATGTAAATCCAAATTCAGACTTATATTCCATACATCATATGTGTAGCATACAGCCGGCGCCGGCGGTGTAGTGGAAAGCGTAACTGCTTTCTCACCACAATGGGTCTGGGTTCAATCCCAGCCGAGGTCTTTGGGATTTTTCTGAGGCATAAAAATCTCTGGTCACGTCTTACTTCGGAAGGGAAGTAAAGCCGTTGGTCCCGGCCCATGTGTGTGATATCCTACGCAGGTGTTGGAAGCTGGCTTCCCCGCACATTTGATTGCCGTCAATGGATGGCAATCGATGTCCGTCGGTGATTGGCACTAGATTGCGGAACAGAGACCAAAGTTAAATAAAGGAAAGAATAAGATAAAAGATCATTTTTTTTTCAAAATGGTAATACAATGCTTTGGTGTCTTAAGCATAGTTGTAGAACTTGTCATTACAAGGAAGTTTGCTGAACAAAGTGTTCTATCTATTTTATAAAGTAAGTTAAATCGTATTTTTCAATTATGACCCCTCAATTAAATGTTTTTTTTTTTTTTTTTTGAATAACTTTGTTTGTGTTTGTTATACAAATGTTGTATGTTGTACAAAATTGTGCAAAATTCACAAATTTGTGGAACAAAGTATGTATTGCTTATTTCAGAAATATATTGCTTTTTTGACCAAAAATTTCCCATTTTCGAGCACGAACTACTCGAAGGGCGGCAGATTGAACTACGTGGATCAGAAACTAGATAATAAATACTCAAAAATCCAGAAGTTTTCATTTGTATCTCAATGTATCCGGATAAGTTATTAATGTAGAAATATTCATTAAATGTAGGCACTATTATGGTAGTATATTATTTCATTATTCGCTCTCCGATGAATCAGAGTATTTTGGAATCAGAATCATCACTTATCACTTATAATCTAATAAATATTTAGCATCAGGCGACATTATGAGCTCTGATTTACGTGTTGATAAACGTTTGCTTGAAATCAAGGCAATCAAGCAAGCGATGAAGGACATAGGTGTTCGTTGCAATCCGCGAAATTTTTCTCGAATGGTTTTCTCGTGTTCTACTTATAATTTTTTTTAACGCCTCTTTTAAAAGTTGTCCGATAGGGACCATGAAGTGATCTATGATCTCTGATCCTTGCATAAGTACCTTATGGACAGATGCAGGCAGATAATACCACGGATATAATTCAACAAACGTTCGCCAACAAAGCACATTCGTTCGAAGCATTTACCTTTGAGCGGCAGATGACGCGATTGTACCTATCTCATAGCGTTCGTATGATAAAATGGAAGAGTTGCCAGTCTTCTTGATATGAAGTATTCGTTGTAAGGCAATATTCGTCGAATTTTGCTGAATTCATTTTTTTCCGCTTGCAAGAGCTTGCAAAATAGCCCCGCATCGTTGCATTACGTCCAGATCGATTCCTATATCATAACAATAATTTATTTCAACAATGCGTATACTTATAACATATTTATTTACCTGTGATTATTGAAGTTTTTCTGCGTCCCGAAAAAACTCCAGGCGGAGTTGCCGTCGTTCGATGTTCCAGATCCGCTTGCACGTGGTTTGTCAATAATTAATCCCATATAGATTTTGAACCTTCCCTGAACCTCACTTTTCCTTCTTTAAATTGTTCTACATCTGCTCGTTTAACTTGCCATTTACGTATATACAATCTATACGACACATTAAGGAAGTACTCCATGAACCTAATCCATGGATGCAAGCTGCACAAACCGTACTGTAATGCGCTTGCATCCGTAGGTCCGTAGGTTGAACTAGATCGATATTGGTCATTTTCTTCAGTTTTGCTCCACACATCTTTGGGCAAATGCCGTTGAAGTAATTGCGTTACAAACTTTACTATCAATCATAGTTAATACCATTTCATATGTAACCCTCACGGTTCTATCATTATCCTCAGTTTCGAAAGGTTCTAACTTAAGTATTGGTTTATCCACAATCATTTTTCTCCTTCATAGACACATCAGCTGTTTCCTTTATTAGATGAATTCGTAGCGGGTGACAATAACGTGCGGATAATGGAGTAGGATTCTGGAACAAAAGTTTTCCTTGGCCCTATGACCACTGCTCCAATCGAATTCCCATTTAATAACCATCGACAGTTCCAGAAGTTCATCATCAGAAAAAACGTCAAGTTTATCTACACAGTTCGAAAAAGTAGTGTAAATTTCTGTTCAGTATGATCCATTTAGTCACATATCATATAAGTTTACATTATATATCATGTAACGTTCTGAGACATTTCATGCAATGTAGCAAATATTTTATACAAAAGTACATTGTTGTAAACAACATTGTTTACAAGTTGCTCGGTTGCGTGAATTGAAATACAAGTTTACGTGAATGAATGTTCACATCAGTATTAAAATTCAGAATTTGTATCTGTGTATAGTTGCTTGCAGGATACGACGACAACTTTGGTCTAATAGGGACTGGAGCTGCACTTCAATAAGAGTTTCGCTCACTTCAATCAATTGGGGATAGCATTCTTACTTTGCAAGCAGAACTTTGTTATGTGAGGGTACACATTTGAATTCCTCAACTTCGCGTTTTTGCGCATATTCATGTACTGAAATTTGGTCAAATTATTGGCGATACTGCGATTAACGCCTATGCAGACGACATCTCCATGTTTCTGGACAATGAACAAGTAGTAGTTCAAGTGGTAAATGTATTCAATGAATTTGGATTATTTTCTGGGTCTATATTTAATAAACAGAAAACTGTAGCAGTTATAATTGAAAACGTCTACCTCACCTCAGACACGGAATGGTTAAATGTTGAAAACTTTGTTAACATTCTCGGTGTACGCTAGGGAGAAAATATTAAACAAGCACCACCCGAGAGGAAGCTGAACCTGGTACAGAAAATTATTTTGATGAACACGTACATAAACTCAAATCCCTGGTATATGGCCTCAAATATACCACTCACAAAGGGATTTGCTACAAAAATAAAGGCAGAGATCGGGAAATTCATTTTTGCAAAGAATAGCATTTGAAAATCTAATTTTCCCAAAATCTAGAGGAGGTCTAAACCTAAATTGTCCAGAAACAAAAGCGAAAGCTCTGCTTGTTAATCGGATCATGAACTTCGCATAGCAACTTCCCATATTGAGCAGCTTCCTGGAGAACCAAACACTACAATACCAGCAATTTTCAACCACGTAACTATACTGAAGGAGGAACTGTCTCACTTACCGGATCAATTGAGCAACACCCCATCCTTCCAAGGATTATATCTTCACTTTCTGGCGTTGAAACCGGATCCTGGATTTGTACACCGCGACTGGAAAACTGTTTTCAAATATCTCCACAACAAAGTTCTAACATCATCGCAGCGCTCAAATTGGTTTGTGGTAATGCACAAAAAGATAAGGCATAAAGAGATGCTGTTTCAACGAGGTGTAGTAGATAATCCCTATTGTGAATCATGTCCAAGAGAGCTCGATACACAAGCTGTTCCGTTGCCAACATGTCAGAGATATCTGGAGCTTCCTACGAAGAAAATTATTGCATCACGATTCTAGGTTAGCCAGATTACAACCGGAGGAATGGATTCATCCAAACTTCCGAAACAGTAATGAAACAATTAAAAACTGTATTATTAAATTCAAGGTTGAAAATACTCATTTCAGCTAGAACATTTTTTTTTATTATGAAATAATTAGATGCTATGATCATATTTTGAATTGGTAAGATACAAGAAGTGGTTGCAAAGAATGTGTTTGACATATTAAACCTGTTTATTTCACTTCATGAGAGTCACAATCAGCGATTTTTCACACACTAACTCACTCACTCACTCACTCACTCAGCGATCAGCAAATCGCTGATTGTGACTCATGGAAAGCAAAATTTACAGGTTTTATGTTTCAAACGCATACTTTGTAACCTATTCTTGTAAGTTACAAGTAAAACATGTCATCAAACCATGTTTTGGGTTTATTATTCCGAAAAAAATATTTTAGCTGAAATGAGTATTTGCAACCTTGATTAAATTGATAGGTCTTTACTTTAGCTATCTAATTGAAACCCATGAAAACTCAATAGGATTGGACAATTTTGTATTTTAGCTATTAACAATTAAGCAACTAAATATAAGGCTTTACAAAAAAAAAATCACGAAGGCCAAATCTTCAGAGCCTGTGTAAGGTATTATTACCTTCGGATTGCTCCATGAAGATAGCACTTTCGATGCACGCGAAG